TTGATGATATCAAAGGTCATTCTCTCTGTCTCCTTTAGCTGCTCTGCCCCACAAGACATGCAGCCAGTACCCTCACGCCTCACCTGTCCAGCTGTCTGGTCAGCAGCTTCCCAAAGGCCAAGTCACATCTCATGATTAAGTCACTCACCCCGAGTGACTCACCCATTGCCTACCTCTTACAGTACAGAAGGAAGTAGATCCTCACCCAAGGGCTTCTTCTCCTTCAGTAGAAGGACAAATTTAGATTTTTTATTTCCTTTCCCAGCAAAATAGAGAGGAGTTGGAATTTCCCTTATTATATTCAAAGCCCTTTGAGACGACTCAAAGATTAAGTCTCAATTGTGCCTTCGAAAATTGTTTACTTGCAGTTCACTTTCAACACGTGGTTGAACCATGTCCTTGAGTATTAAATCTACACATGCACATGTTTTTTCAGTCCTTACCCCATCTGCTCAATGTCAGAAATTCCAAAACAAACATTTTGTTTGTTGTTCTGAGTTTGACATTGACATTCTTGGTACCTGTTTGGGAGCAGAGTCACCATGTATACTGTCCTACAAAGCAGGCTGCCAGGCGAGCCTCCTCCCAACACAGGCTCCACTCCCTCCTCCCTCCTCCTTTCACTTTTTTTTGGGGTGGGGGGTGCAGATTCACTGAAGACTGAGGAACTTCCTGGAGTTCAGAAGGAAAGCAAGCATGTCCTCCAGGTAAAGAGGAGGACCCTAGAGCACAGAGACTCCCCTATTTTCACAAAGAAAGAGCTGGAAGAGGAAGCCAAGCCAGGAAGATTAGGGGAGGTTTCAGACAGTTCATGGAAATAGAAGCAAGTCTTTTTCTGGTCTCAGCTGCTGACTAGAAAACACTGTTGCAAAGGCTGGTGTGCAGCCTATTTCCTGAGATGAAATAAAGCAATGATGTAGTCAAAGAATAGGATTCTAGAACTTGAGGAACTTGTTCTGCTAGTCACTTATCAGGTTTGTAATACTTCTTCTCTCGGCCTCTATTTCTTCCTCATTAAAACTGGAATAATCAAACCCACCTTTCTGGATTGTTGTGACGATTAAAGTGCTTAGTACAGTGTCTGGCATGTAGTGAGCACTATGCAAGTGTTTGCTATTGTAGAGTTTGCTGAACCACACACCCTGCAGGGTGGAGTCCTAACTGCCACCTATTGGCTGTGTAATCTTGTGAATATTACTTAACCTCTCTGAGCCTTGGGGTTTCCTCCTCTATGAAATAAACTCAAGCCCTAAGATTTGTTGCAGAGATTAAATAAAATTAAATGGGGTAATTGTCACATCCACAATCCAGATGTGCAAGAGCAGTTGTGGAGAGGGCAAAGAAAATGCTCCAAAATGGCATGTGAGACTTGTGATTTATTAGGGAAAGCTTACAAGAGATCAGCGACGGCTCCAAAAAGAGTTTAGTGGCAACAGGCTGACAGAGGGCACCTCTGTTCTTTGTCTAGTGGCAGCCTGCTAGACTTTCCACAGAGCCCTCTCTGTACCTGTGCCCACTCAGAGTGGGGTTTTATGTGTTAGGCTGCAGAAACAATGACATCATCAGCATTAGCTTGCCTAGTTTGCTTGTCTGACCAGCATCCCAGGACCATCTGTTCTGGTGCATATGCAAGAAATTTCTTTCTACAGATAACACTAACTTGCCCCAGTTCCCAGTGTGTATAAGATAGCTGGTGTCCTTTAAGATATTATGTGTCTGGACTTTCCAGCCCAGGCTTGCTCTCATTACTCTCTTAACTTGGCTAGGTTTTTGGGGAAAGAAAGGGGGTATTCAGGGACATAGTGTTTTACCATCCCCCTTTTCTTTGAGGATGATACAATAATGTATGGAATACTAAACAGTGCTTGAGACTCAGTAGATGTCCATTATATGCTAATTATTAATATTATTTCTATTATTTTGTTGTTATGTGTTTCTCATTATCTCTAAACTTGCCCTCTGTGCTCCTCCAGGGTAGTTTATTCCAATTCATCCCCCAGCAAAAGTGACTTTTTTTTTAAAGGGAAACAGACTCAAAATATATGTGTAGTGACATCAAGCATGTCAGTGGTGGTCTAGAGCCAGGGTAAGAGGGAGATCAACCACAAATGGGCACAAAGGAACTTTCTGTGATGAGAGAAGTTGTGTATATTTTGACTTGTGGTGGTGGTAAGCATCTTCATATGTCAAGACCTATCAAACTGTACACTTAAGCAGATGCATTTGTTTTTATGTAAATTTCCCTTAATATTGTTATTTGGGGTAGGGGGAAGGTAAGGGGCTCAGTGATAGAGTGCTTGCCTGGCATTTGCAAGGTCCAGGGTTTTGTCCTCAGCAATGCTAATAAAAATAAGAAGGAGAAGGAGAAGAAGAAAAGGTAACCAGCCTTCCTAATCATCTACTCTCATTTTCTGTTTTCCATGGCACTTACCAGAACTTATCAGTATATACAATTATTTCATTCATTTCTTTACATGTATTGCCCAATTCTTCTCTCCACTAAAATATGAACTTTTGGGGGACAAAGTCTCTGTCTTATCTACCAGTATAACTCCAGAATCTCTAGATCCATGCCTGGCATATAAAAGGAACAAAATAATTCTTATTGACAGGCTGATTCAAGTCCATCAATAGTTATTTCTCCAAATTAAATGCTGATTTCACCCATTCTCATCATTCCCACTTTCACCCAGAGCTCCATAGCCTCTTTCTTGGTTACGCAATCACCTCCTTGTGGGTCTTGTTGATTCCACCAGTGTCCTCTCAACGCAGTCTCTCCAGAGCCCCCATGATACTCCTTGTAAAATTAAACCAGATTACCTTACTTCCCTGCTTTTGTAATGATTAAGAAGCTGAATGAGTGAACAAGAAAAAGAAAGGCAATTTAAATCTCTATGAAAATATAAGAGCTACAATACAACAAAGGTCATAATCCTAACAAAATGAATAAAAATGTAACATTGGAGCAGATATGAATCTCAGTCCACAAATTCCAAAAATACCTCAACTATTAATAATGAATTGGACGGGTGACCCTCAGACCAAAATAATAATAAAAAAAATAATAATAATTCTGCCTGCACATGTTACCATTTAGTAACTGCTGTCTCAGTCTGTGTGTCTCTTCTATCTGGTGAATCTATACTGCCTTCCTGTCATGCCTGGTGGGACACACGAGTCTGCTCTGAGGTCATCCAGGGTCTCGTCTGCCTAAACACACAATGCACCTGTTGTTCCTTGAGTCTTGCCACCCTTCTAAGTGCTTTCAGAAAGTGAACTCCAGTCACTTAAGCTTTGGAAACTCCAAAACACCCTCTTCTCTCATTAGCCAAAGTGAATTTCCTTGACTTAGAAGAAAGGCCCTGCTTCTCTGAGACATTGTACATACCCTCAAGAAACACCACCTTTTATTTCATTCTCCAAACTCTGTAATTTCTTTAAAAACATATTAGGGTCAGCGGAAACTAAAGCTGGAGAAAGGGCAGGAAATTTATGTGTACTATCCTGTCAAACGTCTCACCCTCAGTGAAGTATCAAATTGGCTACCTACTTGGGTGGGAAAATGGGAAATTAAAAAAAAAAAGTGGGAGAGTGTATAAAAAAACAAGGAGCAGGCTGGGGTTGTAGCTCAGAGGTAGAACGCTTGCCTAGCATGTGTGAGGCATGGGGTTCAATCCTCACCACCACAAAAAATAAATTAATTAAAATAGAGGTATAAAAATACAATAACATTATTTTTTTAAAAAAGGAGCAATGGAAAAGTGTAAATTAGTATTTCAGAAAACTACCTAGCCAAAGTTTCTCCCTAGTAAAGCTTTTGTTGCAGATGTTGACTTTTTTTTCAACCCTCTCAATAGCATAGAAGTCTGAGTTTTACATTTTCCTGGGTAGTTAGCATTGTGACTGACTCCCCAATATTTCCATTCTTTTTTTTAAAATTAATTTATTTTACAGTAGAGTGCATTTTGACACAGTGTACACAAATAGAGCACAAGTTCTCATTCCTCTGTCTGTGCATGGTGCAGAGTTAGACCAGTAGTGTAGTCATCCAAGTAAACAGGGTAATAATGTCTGTCTCATTCTACTCTCCTTCCCATCCCCACCGCCCCATCCTTCCCCTCACTCCCCTCTACACAACTCTAAATTCCTTCATTCTTCCCTGTCCCTCCACCCCACTATGGATGAACATCTACTTATCAGAGAAAACATTTGGCCTTTGTTTTTTGGGGATTGACTTATTGCACTTCGCGAATGATATTCTCTAGTTCCATCCATTTACCTGCAAATGCCATAATTTCGGTCTTCTTTAAGGCTGAATAATATTCCATTGTGTATATGTACAACATTTTCTATATCCATTCATCTGTTGAAGGGTACCTAGGTTGGTTCCATAGTTTAGCTATTGTGAATTGAGTTGCTGTTAACATTGATGTGGCTGCGACACTGTACCAACATTTTTATTCTGTTCCATGATTAATCTAAGCAATTCATGGCAACTTGCTCCACATCAGTTATTGGTTCACAGATGGACAAGCCTGAGCCACTTTGGGCCAGTGGGATTCAAGGAGAGCCTTGATGAGGGCTCTGGGAAGACCAGTTGCTCCATCTTGAATGCCATGGAAAAGCAAGTGCGTTCTTCCTGTAAGTTGAGGATGAAAAAAGCACAGAGTTCCCATTGCCACTGGTAGTCAGTCACAGCAATGAAGGATGAAACAGGAACTGTGAGAGGCAAAGAAACAGAAAGAGCCCACCACCTCGATGCCATCATTCAGCCACTGGGTCCCATCCTCACGCTCTATTGTTTAAGCCAGTTGAGTTGGCTTTTCTGCTACGTGTTGCCCAGTGCATTCCACCTGATTCCAAATTTGGTGCCAGGAATAGAAGGGTTGTGAATAATAGAGAGGAGGGGGTTGCATGGTGATCTCCCAAAGATGTGTCTACATACTAATCTCTGGAACCCATGATTACTACCCCTTATTTGGAAACAGAGTCTTTGCAGATATAATTAAGTCACACTTTATTATTTTCAAGTTCAGTCAGATGTTGCAGAGACACAAGTTGAAGACTTTTTAAAAATAAAATATCTCATTTGACCTTTATTATCTGACCATTCATCAAATTCAGAAAAGGCTTTTCAACACACCTTCATATGACTCAGCAGTTAAAGGCTTTTTTAAAAAAGTTTAGTTACATTACTTATTTGATGATGATGATGATGCTAATTTCAGAGATTGATTCTATTGTAACTAAAAATAAAAATAAATAAATCCCTGAACTGGGAATCTGAATCTGAGTTTTATTTCTGTCTTAGCACTAGGTTAGGGGACTTGGGAAATCATTTCCCCGTCTGAGCACGAGTTACCTTCCTAAGGAACCACCACTGCCTCCCAAGTGTCTCAGAATCATCTAGGTCCTTGCTACAGATATATTTCTGAGCCCTTTCCTGAGTCTTCTGGATCATATTTTCTGACATTGGAGCCCAGGAATAATTGGGTAATTATCACGTACAGCCAAGTTTGAACAGCACAATGATCCCCAGGGTTCCTATAAATATTTGGTTTCTGATTTCTGTTCTTTCTCTCACTTTCTGGTCTCTGCTACAAGACATCATGCTGAAACAAAACACAAAATAGACAATAAAAAACCAAGACCATGATTTCATCATTTTCATAGTCCCCTCCCCAGCATCTTCACATACCAGTGCCTGGTATGTAGTAGGAACTCAATAAATATTTGAAGAATTAATCAATGGCTATTAAATACATGAATGTTATTTCATGTGTATCCCAATCACCTACCAATAGAGAAATTTAGAGAAAAAAAACTATTTTAAACTTTTATAGGATATACTTCCACACTTCCTGGCTGCCCTACTGTACCCGTCAGTAATGGGTTATGTGGATAAGGCTAGCACAGAGTCAGAGACCACAGGAAGGTGGCTGAGATTCCCCCACGGGTTAGATTATCCCATGGTATTTCCCGGAGGCAGTGACGGTTTGTGATTCAGCAGGAGCCAGTTTTTCCCTGCTTGATTTTTTCAGATCTAGAAAAACTTGTCTCCTGCCTGGGTGACGCATACCCTTGAGGTCATGCTGTAGGTCTCTAAAGGCCACCTCAAGTGGCTGGGGCCCCCAGTGATTGGAAAGAGGCAGTCATCTTCTGTTGGAAGTCACTGGTAGATTTGCCAGCAGTGAGTGTCAACCTAGCAAGGTGTCCATAGTCGATGATTCCCCCAGGATGTCTGATATCACCGCCTGTGACCTCACAGCTCTTTATCCCACCCCCTCCTTTAGGCCACCTTCTGAGCCTCCCCAGCTCAAACACTGTCAGCTGGCCTTGGAAAGTACCGGCTCAGGATGAAATCTGTCACAGGGGTGGGAAACTTAGCCAGGGGGAGGTAGAGGAGTTTGGCATCCAGGCCGGGGTTGTAGCGGACGCGGGGGCTCCGGGAAACGATGGCGTGCTCCATGCTGTTGGTGACATCCTTGATTCTTGGCTCTGCCAGCTGCATCGTGTTTTTCAACTTGTTGGTATCTGTTTGAGGGGTGGGGGGTGGCAATGAAAGGTTCTGTTATTCTTCATGAAAGATGAAAGTTTCTGTTATTTTTCTGAATTCTGTTCAAGCTCCCTTTCCATCAGATCCCTGGCCTAACATTTCAGGCAGGTTTTCACACACACATTTATAAGATCATTACAATTCCTCTTATTTGTCTTCCTCAATTTTACAGTTGTGCATTGAATTCTAGTGACTGCAATGAGAAGAGCTGTGCCAGTTCTTTATATGACTGTGCCACTTAGAGTTGTATGAACTTGAGCTTAAACTTTCATTATCTATAAAACAGGGATAATGCTACCTGCCTTGGAGAATAGCAAAGATGATTGATTAGTAGCAGGCTACTCGATGGAGTAGTGGGATTCCTAGGCTTTTTTTCATTTTTTTTTCCTTCACTTTCTAGAGTTTCCACATTTTCTACAAAAGCATGCAGGGGGAAAAAATGTTGTTAAAAATAGTTAACCAGCTGGGCAAGGTGGACAGTGGGAGGTGATACGAAGCACATCCTTCCATTGTCCTCTCAAATATTTATTAGCTCTTGTTTTGTGTGGGCACCTGCTAGGCATGGAGTGGAAAGGGAGACACAAGTTCCCATCTAGCCCATCACTCTCCTAGATGGTGGGGAAGAACATGGGCTTTGGATCTGGGCACCTGGGGAAAAGTTTTTCTTCCTGAGAGAATTAAGCAAGAGAGTTTATAAAAGAGCAAGGTCCAAACTTTGGCATTTCGGCCACAACAGTTGAACTTCTGACCCCTTTTCTTTGCTAGGGACAGGTCCTAGTCTTCATATAGACTCCCCAAGAAGTAGGGGAGGGGGCTAAAATGGGAATTTTGGGGGAGGGTATTGGGGATTGAACTCAGGGGCACTCAACCATCGAGCCATATCCCCAGCCCTATTTTGCATTTTATTTAGAGAGAGGGTCCCCCTGAGTTGCTTAATGTCTTGCTTTTGCTGAGGCTGGCTTGTGAACTTGCTATTCTCCTGCTTTAGCCACCTGAGCCTATGGAATTACAGGTGTGCATCACTGGGTCCGTCTAAATGGGAATTTTTGATGTCCTCCCCAGCAGAGTTCGGAAGAGAAAAGACATTAGGTCCTTGGCTATGTCCAGCAACAGCAGTAGTAACCACGCCAGGCTGAGGCTCAGCTTCAGGCCTGTTAGCATAAGAACTGTGATCTCTATTTCTGTGCTTGTCCCTGTGATTCTAAGCACCACTTCTTTGGGAATGTGCTCCTGTCAGTTGCTATCAACAAGCCATCCATACAGTTCTACTCTGGATATCATTAAGAACAACTCCAAGAGCTATGTACATTATCACTCACATGTAATTCCAGATATTTGAGAGGCTGAGGCAGGAGGATCACAAGTTTGAGGTCAGCCTGAGCAATTTAGTGAAACCCTGTCTCAAAATAAAATTTAAAGGACTGGGGATTAGCTCAGTAGTAGAGCACTCGCCTAGTATACAGCAGGCCCTGGATTCAATCACCAGTACCATGCACACATGCACGCATGTGCACACACACACGCACACACACAAAAGAAATCTGAGGCATGTCTTGGAGTTCATAAGCTAGGGGCCTGTTTGGTTAGCCACAGCAAGTGGTTATCATTTGTCTAACGCAGCACTGCATGACCACTCTTGAATATCTCTTGTGTCTTACTATTGGCCCCCCACTTCTCATAACCACCTTGATGTGTGACTTCATGTCTTCATGCCACACCTAGCTCAAAGCTATTTGAAATGCTAAGATTCACACTCCTCAGTGTAACCACCCAAATGGTCTTTTAGGCTCTGATCCTTAATCTATCCCTGTCCCAGTCCCCTACACACTACACTTGTGCCAGACTAATAATCATAACAATGCCTAAGGTCTGTTGAGCTCATTCTATGGCTGAGAGGAGTACTTTACATTTTTGTTTAGTTCTATAGTTTTTGAAGGAGGAATTATTATACTTTTTTAAATGAATAAGCTGAAGTTTAGAGAGTTGTGTAACATGATCAGAAGGACTGCTGAAGTCCAAATTTGGAATCACACTGCCTACAAAGGCATAAGATCTATGTCACATCATGTCTCCAGATGTCGTGCCTCCAGATGTTGCTCGTGCTTCTCTGTGGGAAACATTTGCTGTCTCTTTCCCTTTTGTGAACTCCTGTTCATCCTTCAAAACTCTCTAAGGCATCCATTGTTTCCTCTTTGAGGCTTTTGTGACAGAGGAATTAAGTCTCTGTTCTGTTAACCGTTGCTTCGCTTGCATGCCCACTATTGATTCTCTGCATGGTGTTGTATTTGCTTTTGGATCTCCCCTGCTGGATTCTCAGAGGCCCATCTCATCCCTGTAATCACTAGGTAACTGAGGTGAAAATTGAGAGTATAACCACCTGGGAAAATGTTTATCTAAAAGTGGTTGACACCTGCCTGAAAATTTTCCTCTGAAATCATGGGGTGGACTACAAATGAATCAGCCTATGGATTTCATAAGCCCTCTCCTTATTATTCTTCAGCATAACAATACCAGCTTTGTGACAAGTAGTTTTCAGAGGACATTTGCTTTCCTGCAGATTCCTTCATGGACAGCGCTAGAGACTCTACAGTCCTTGCCTGCACTGAGGACTTACTTAGGAAGTGACTTTATATACTTTCCAGACTCTGGCTGAATCTATGCTTCACCCAGCTTCACAGCAGCCCATAAATGACTTGGACCACTCTCTGCTAAGGGAGTTTTAGGGGGAATCACACAGAGCATTTACAGTATATCCCCTCCCCCACTAACATCCAGTCCTTTTGTTCCCAACAGCTGCAGACTTCCCTTTGGGGATCCATGATTCCCTGGCTCTTGAGTCTTGGGTCTAGGTAGAGCACATGATCCAGCCTGAGCCAGTAGGACTTTCACATTTCCCTGGGCACGGAGATTAATTCGAGGTTGAGAAGTTCTGCAGTTTCCTCTGATCCAGCCGTCCAGATTAGAATGAACTTTAGGATTTTCAGGGAATCTAGAAAGAATTGTCCCCTATTCCCAGGAGACCTCACTTTGGAAGGAAGTGAGGAGATGCTGTAACCATGAGGTTTCCAAAGCAAAGAGAGTTTGTGAGTCTAGAGTCACAATACAAGCAAGAAGAACCAAGTAGTAGGGTGAAACCAAGGCCTAACGGTATCACTTTGGAGCTGGATTGGGTTGTGCCTGGAGTCAATTTTGTTTAACTTTTTAGTTATGTGGGTCAAGGAATTCTTTTCTGCTTCAATAAGTTTGGTTGGATTTTCTGTCACTTGTAACTGAGAAAGTCACACAGGAGACCCCTAGCTCAGGAAGATAAGAAAGTTTCCTAGAGACTCTCCCTTCTAAATACCCATGTGCTCATTTTCCTCTTTCTTTTTTTAATATTTATTATTAAGTTTTAGGTGGACACAATATATTTATTGTGATGTAAATCCTTGGGACATTTTTTTTTCTCCTCACAGAATTCTAATATGTCCAGAACCAAAAGATTTTTTTCTTTAAGGAACACTTCTCCAAAGATCTCTTCACTGAGTCTTCCCTAAATCAACAGGTAACTGATATCCCCATCTACCAGGTTCTTCAACATAATCCTAGCACTCCTCCTTAAGGGTTCCCTCTCGCTCTTCCCCAGTAACCACTAGTCTAATATACACCTGGCATCCAGCAACTTCTTTCTACATCCTCTACCTCCTCTCTAGTCCAAACCACCATCCTGTCTACCTGGAACACTGCAGCAATCAGAGTGGTCTTTCCCAGCTATAGATCAGATCATATCCTTATTTCTCAGTGTGCTTTAATGCTTTAATTTATTTTGTGCCCTTCAGCTAGCCCTCACCGCTCCCTACCTGCTGGCTTCCTTAAAGTCCCTCCAAAGGAATGTCCTGCCTCTGAGCTCTCCTGCAAAAATCTCCCTTCTCAGCCCCTTTTCCACTTTCCAGCAATGCCTAATTCTAATTTTTCCTCAAGGTCAACTCAGAGAAGGTCTCCCCATGCCATAATCTGAATTGGGGTTCCAACTCCCAGCCCTGTTCTTCTTTCAAGAGCCCTTGTTTTCTCTTCAATTGCATTTAACCACAATTTTTCATGAAATGTGTGTGCTTTTACTAACATTTGTCTCCCCTACTGGGTCTAAAGCTACAGGCAGTTAGAGGAAAGCACACTGCTTTGTCCACTCCAACTCCTAGTTCCACACAATACCTGGCACATGGCAGCCTTGCTCTGAAAGGTATATTAAGTGAAGAAATCGCTTTCTTGGTTTTTGTTTCTTAGCTTTTAATTCTGTTGATGTGTGATGTCCAGGACAGCATGTCACTAAAATAAACCTTTCTTCAGACCTGCCATGGGTTTCATTGCATGATTACATTTAGCCCATTGCTATAGTTTCAATCTGGAATGTCCCCCAAAAGTCCATGAGTCAAAGGCTTAGTCCTTAGCTTAGGAGGTTGTGAAACTAAGAGGTGGATCCTATTGGGAGGTCTTTAGGTCATTGGGGGCATGACCTCAAAGGAGACTGTGGGACCCAAGTCTCTTCTTCCTCTTTTTTGCTTCCACAAGGTGAGTTGTTTTGCTTTGCCATATGCTTCCTCCATGATGTACTGCCATAGGCCCAAAGCAACAATGGAGCCAACTTGACTGTGAACTCAAACCACTAACACTATAAGCCAAAATAAATCTTTTCTTTTTATAAGTTGATTGTCTCAGGTGTTTATTATAGTAACAGAAATTTGGATTATAATTTTGGATTATTATAATTTAAGAATCTCTTTACAGTATAAGAACTTATATCTTGTAGATACCACTGTAATCAAATAAAGGAAATCACACTTAGTCTAAGGAAAGATAATAAAAACCACCATAAACTTTTAAATCAAATTTTTTTACCAAGCACTAGGAACTACAAGTGTGTGTGTGTGTACATATATATATGTATATATATACATATGTATTAAATGAGAATATGTACATTCTCATAAGTTATTGCAGATGAGAAAATTAAGAAATTAAGTAACTTGTCCAAGGTCCACATCTGCAAAATCTACATCCATGCCGGCTAGTTCTTAACTGCAACAGAAAATTGCCTCTTGGGACTATACATGGAAGTAAGGTAAAAGAGAAAAAGAAAAATCTGGGTTAGGGAAAATGAGACAAGACTATTGAGGCCTAGAGGGAGCAGGAACTGGACTGGGTGCATGGCTGCTTCACTCTGGACCCAGGGACAATTCCTAAGACAGCACAGAGCCAGCCCTACCCTCTTGGCTGGTGGCATCATCAGAGAGAAAACTGGAGAAGGGAGATGGCTGCCAAGGAGGTGTCAGCTAATTACACCAGGCCAGTTGCTACTGACAAAGGTTGCCCCACCCAAGGGCAGCTACAGAGGGGCCTGCTCTCTCTCCAGGCCCTGGGACTTGTGGAATGGAGAGACCTAGGAAATCAGTGAATCCCACTCTCCTAAAACCAACTGGCTCAGCTTTGAGATCAGATTCTCTGAGTGATTTGGGGCACTCTGGTCCTCAAAATGACTCTCTCTTTTCTACCAGTAGACACATCAACAGAACTTTTGGCCCATTCTCCCTCCACTGCACGTTCAGCCCATATCCTTTCATGTTCCCCAAAGCCTGAGGCTCCATTCATCCCCAAACTGGACAAGCTGCACAATGTTAGGCAGGATGGTAAAGAGCTGAGACCTCCTCCTTCATCCTCCCAAGCACCTAAGGTTCACAGGAGATCCCTAGCTCAGGAAGATAAGAAAGTTTCCTAGAGACCCTCCCTTCTAAATACCCATGTGCTCATTTTCCTCTTTCTTTTTTTAATATTTATTATTAAGTTTTAGGTGGACACAATATATTTATTTTACATTTATGTGGTGCTGAGAATCGAACCCAGTGCCTAGTGCATGCTAGGCGAGCACTCTACCACTGAGCCACAACCCCAGCCCATCATTTTCCTCTTTCTATAACAAGTATCTGGTGCAAGACACTTCACACACATTAATCCTCACAGCAACCCTGTGAAGTAGGCTCTATCATTAGCTCCATTTTCCAGATGAGAAAACTGAAGTACAGAGAGACTAATGAATTTGTCCAAAGCCTCCCAGCTAGTAAGGGAGTAGAGCCAGGACTCTGACCCGGGCAGCCATGCTCTTGATCACTGCTCTATATTTATCTCAGTGCATTTTCACCTGACTCAACCTGCTCAGTGATATTCAAGGGCAAGTGCCAGGAGTAGGCAGCATCTCTCCTGACTCCCCCATGAATCTGCCATTTGGTCTCTATTCTCGAACCCCAGCCCTGCTGCTAGTTGTATGGCCTCAGGCCCTGAGTCCTTCTGAGCCTCTTTTCCATCATCTGTAAACTGAAAGCCAGTCAGCAACCCCAAAATTTCCCTTCCCCTCTCTGAGACCCCACTCCCACGGGGGAACTCACAGATGCGGAAGTATTCTTCTCCGTAGCTATCCCGGGTCTCTGGAGGAAGCCGTTCCCACAGCTTTTGCATGCGTGTCTCTAAACCCTCCTTTCCCAGAATGGATGTCCGGTAGTTCCCTGGCTCAATGATGCTGACCTTCACCCCAAAGTAATGGAGTTCACGCCTGGGAAATTAGAGTTGCATTTGCTCTGAGCCTCATGATGACAGTCATTAGGGAGATTCACCTCTGGAAGGACCTGTCTTACCAGGAACCTGGAGGTCCCCCCACTCCTGTGCAGCTGGCCCAGATACTCACTGCCTTCATGCAAATAACCCTTTCCTAAGCTGGTTCAGCAGTCTCTGGGCACTTTGCATAAGGCAAACCCCATAGGGAGGAAGTCAATAGAGGATCTAGGCCAAGATCTTGCCTTCACCAGGTCCTTCCCACTCTCAGCCCCATGCTCAGCACCATACCTGATGAAAGGGAGGTGGTCTATACAAGGCTTGCATCCTCCTTCAAGGGTTTATCTCCATTCACCTCTTCTCCTCATCCCTTCTTCTCTTGATCTTTGGAGAAGATCTAGCCTCCCTCTTGCTACTGCTTTAACTCCCTTGTTCCAGAACTGCTCCGCCCCCATGCTGTCACCCCAGCCCTCTCTTCCTGAATTAAAACACCCAAGATCCCCACCCAGGTGGTGTTATCAGGGCCCAGTCACCTGATGCTGTCAGAGAAGGCCTCAACCCCAAACTTGGAGACACAGTAACCACCACCAATGACTGCCACACGACCACCAGAGCTGGACATGTTGACCACCCTGCCCCGGGCTTTCTTGACCATAGGCAGCATGTGGAGGGTCACGTCGATCAGTCCCACCAGGTTCACATTGATCACCTTCACAAAGTCTTCCTTGGTCAGCCATTCGTTGGGACCACTGGGCAGGCCCACACCAGCATTATTCACCAGTGCCCAGAGGCCTAAGGATGAGAGGAGAGAGAAAGAACCACACAGAAATCAGTGTCTCTGGGAAAGCACCAGGGACCATTATCCACCTGCTCAGGGCTACCTTTTGGCCGAGTAGGTGTATAAGACACAAGATGGCATGGTTTGGAGCAGGGGTGGGGAGTTACAACAGCCGGAAAAATCATATGCCTTTTACAGACTCATGTTCCCTTGAAGGGGCACTTTTTTCTGATTAACATAGTCTGTCAACTGGCTGAGGCTCTGTACCAGTCACAACCCAGGCTGCATGTGGCTAATAGCACTGAAGCTATTAGCTCAAAGATAGGAGATACCATTTTCCTACCAATGAATTCAAGTCTGAATTCCATTGTCAATCAGGCTTCCTTTCTCTATTCACCTAAGTGTAAGAAACCAACTCCATTTCACCTATTACCCAAATCGATTCACTTATTCATTCATTCATCCTTCACACATCTATTCATTCCTACACATCTACTCTGTGCCACTTAAAAGGTGAAGGAGACAGAAACTGAACAAGACAAGGTCTTGCCCCTCAAGATAGCAATAAATGCTAAAGAAAAAAGTCAAACAAGGCAGACCAGAGAGAAAAATGTCATATTTATAAGTGTATAAAACACTTGAATAAAATACTCATGAGAAATATGAAAAGGGCTCTCTTTAAATTGGGTTGCACATGAATGGAGAAAAATAATGGTAAGTTATTTAGGCCCAACTCTGTAGGGCCTCAGGACTGGAGAACCTCAAGATCTAGGCCTGCTTCTAACTCCAGGCCTTGGACAGATGGCTTCCTATCTGGGCCTCAGGTTCTTCGTCAGACTTCAGTAGGGAGATTGTTCCCAGTCAGTCCCAAAAGCCTGGTGGAGGAGGGAGCTGCAGGAGAAGCACTCCTTTGAGTTTTTTAGTAGAATTCCACTAGGGAAGCATAATACTAAAATCACACTGAAAAAGCCCCTCAATGACCTTTAAGGGCTCCTTCTGGCTCTTTCACCCAAGGATCCAGGGAACCTCACTCCCTGGCTCCTTCCTTTTCCCAACCCCATTATATCCCAAACTTGACCAATACCTCAAGGTACTCTGCCAGCACAGTCACTCACTCCTGAGGGAAGATCTGAATGTGAACATCAATCCTGGCCACCTTCCCCCCAGGTCCCCACCTAAGCCACACCCCCATCCTCCTGTTTTCTTGCCATTTGAGAAACTAAAGGAGATTAACTGATTGGCAGGGTTTGGAATCTTTCCAGCTGGGGGAGACTCTGGCCTTATATAGGAGAAAATGAGGTTGCTGAGACCAAAAAACCCCAGTGGTCTCTGCCTGTGGAAAAGGGATACACAGCATTTCTACCTCTGATTGTCCTGGTAAATGTCTCTAGCAGAGGATGCATTACCTGTTGGGGAACTAGGACAACCTTATTTTTATCTATCTATCTATCTATCTTGGGCTGGGGTTGTGGCTCAGTGGTAGAGCGCTCCCCTAGCACGTGCAAGGCCCTGGGTTTGATTCTCAGCACCACATAAAAATAAATAAATAAAATAAAGATATTGTGTCCAATTACAACTAAAAAATAAATATTTTTTTTTTTAAAAAAGAGTAACCAGAGAATAGTCAGAGCAGGGCTAACAGCTTTAGAATGTGCCAATTCCATATTCAGGGACACTCAGGGGCAATGAGAAAGCATGTAAGAATTGTCTCCCTTCCCCCACCCCCAGTACTCAGTGCTTCTTAGAGTAAGAATGTTGCATAGGCAGAATAATCATCCTCCAAGTATTAGGATCAGGTTCCTAATCCCAGGAACCTGTGACACATGGGGTTACATGGGAAAGGAGAATTGAGGTTGCAGATGGAATTGAGGTAGCTAATCAACTGATCTTAATGGGGAGATTATCCCAGATTTGCCTGTGAAGCCCAAGAGAATCACAAGAGTCCTTCTAAGTAAAAGAAAGCAGAAGCCAGAGAACCAGAGAGATGGAAAAAGGGTGAAGGACACAGGTCAACTTTGCTGGCCTTGAAGATGGAGGAAGCAGCCGTGTGCTAAGGAATGCAGGCACCCTTTAGAAGCTGGGTAAAGCAAGGAAATGGATCTCCCCTGCTCCCAGAGGGAGCATAGTTCTGCTGAGCCCTTGAATGTAACCTAGTGAGACCCATTTTGGACTTGTTTCCTCCAGAGTTACAAGATAATAAACGTGTGTTTTTAAGCCACTGTGTTTGTGTGAATTTGTTATAGCAGCAATAGGAGACTAATACAGCCACTGAATCATGAATGCAAGTGGCTTAAGGTGGAAAGTAAGGAGCTGGCTGAGGAAGCCTGGCAGAGAGAGAGGCTCACCCTTGCTAAGGATGTAATAAGTAAGAGACAAAAAAGTTCTTTTCCCAGGAAACTAGCACAGGAAACAATTAATAAACAAGAAAAATAAGTATTGCATTGTGTTGGATGGCAATAAATGCTAAAGAAAAAAGTAAAACAAGGAGCTACTATTTGGCTCCTCCTGGGTTCCAGGGTTCTGTTGCTCCCACCTGGACTGAGGCTCTAGACTCATTTCCTTGGGAGTGAGGACTTCCTCTAGGTTTCTGTTTCTACTATAGAACTATCCTGATCCTCCCTATCCTGCACTCACAACCTATGTGCTGGAAGTTCACTGGGCAGGTTCCCCCATACTCTTGGTCCAGCCCCAGCTCACAGCCTCCTTTCTCAATGCAAGTAGCCACTCAGATGTAGGCACCAACATCCATGGTGAGGTAAGGAAGAGATCTGCCTCCCTGCTGCCTGACACAGAGAATGCCCTGATTCACGGCATCCAACCTCCTGTCCCCTTGCCTCTGTCCCTAGCCTGAGAACTACACGAAATATGCTTGAATTTCTGTAGGAGATGGTAGGACTACTGACATTTCCAAGAGACACTTCCATCTTGAGAGGTTTGAATATACAGAATACATCTTTCCTCCCTCGCTTCCTGTCATAACCTCTGCCCTGTCCCTGAGTTTCTGGGAGAGAACCCTTTCTTGGGAAATCACCTCTTCATGTGAACAGGACAAATCATGCAGTGCTTTCCAACCTGACAGAGCCAGAGCTCCCAGTCCCAGTTCCCTGCTCATTCCCTACATCAGCTCTCCCACCCCCTTTGGACATCAGTGTCCCTAATACTGTCAGATGATGAGGAAGCAGGGAGGGAGGAGGGGGAAACAGAGAGATGCAGAAATAGCGTAAACTAAGAAAGCCAAAGGATGCTGTTTGCCCCACCTTGCTCGCCCACTTGGTCCCTCACCCACTGGGCTGCTGCCTTGATGCTCTCAGTCTTGGTGACATCCAGTAGGATGGTCTGCAGTTGGTAGGAGGTATCCTGTTGAAGTTTCTGGGCTCCCTCCTCAGTGAGGCAAGCAGCCAGCACTCGCATACCCCGATCAACCAGCTGTCTGGCCAACTGGTTCCCAAAGCCCGAGTCACAGCCGGTGATGAAGACATACTTCTCTGAGAGGTTGCGAACAAGATTGCAATTCTTGAACCAGCGATACATAAAAGAGAGGTCCGTGAGTGCTGCCATTGAGCAGTGGGGAGCTGATGGCAAAGAAGAACAGGGCTCAGGAAACAGCAGGAGAAGTTGGTTCTTAGGTCCCTGGTGACACTCTGCTGGAACCCACAGGTAAGGAGAGCTTCTACTACTTGCAACAGATGCAGGGCCCTGCCTAAGATACTCTGTCATCTTTATAGGTGGATACATCACCACCAATTAGCCAAGATGCAAGAAATTCAAGTCCAACCTGAAGCATGTCACCTCTGACAGCTCTGGTGATTACCTCCCTCTCTCCCCCTGCCCTGATGGGTGAAGGTGCCAAAAATGGGAAAGTCCCCAATGGCAATGTGGGTGCCATGAAGAAGTTCACCTGGATGGCATGAGAGGGCAAATAAGAAAGGAAGACTCAGCCTAGGGACCCCTGCTCTGGAAAAGCCCCACCCCAGATCCACCTCTAGCCTAGGGATCAAAATCATTTGTCGTGAGTACAGGCATGTGTATAAATTTAACTTTTATTTTCAGGGAAAGCATTAAGATGAATTCATGAATTCAAAATAAAATTGGGCTTATGCCCTCCAAACCCCAAGAGAAATTGAAGCCCAGATCATCAACTCTTTGGAGATCTTAAGTGAGTCTCCATCATCAGAAATGGTGAAAAACAAAGGGTTTTCCCAGGTTGTGTGCCTCCATTGTCCTGAGGCCAGAGGAAGCTGGGCCCTCCTATTGGGGGGATGTGGATATGAGGCCCCACCTACCAGAAAGCGGAAAGACTTGAGATACTCAGGGCCTGGCTTGTGGAGTGATACTCAGGTCATTAGCAAGGAGTCCCCACTGCCTTCCAAACCATTTCAGAATTCCACCCACCCCTACCAATGAAGGGAGCCAAAGACAGAGGGCATAGCAGCTCCCTAACCAGGAAGGTATCTTTCGTTCACCCTCAGGACTTTATTTCAATACTCTAGGTGGTCTGATGAAGCACGAAGACTGAAGGTGGGGTGACAGTGGAAGGGAACTCTGAAGCCAGGAGACACAGTGGCTAATTGAATGGAAGTTAGGAGTCAGAGCCATTTGAAGGTAGGGGGCCTTGACAAGTAGAACCACAGGTGGCAAGAGAAGCCAGTAGTCGAGAGTTGGGCATGGACAGGAAGGCAGGGAAGGGATCATTTTGATCCAAGCATCACTGAGCCTGAGGTTCAGGCAGATGATGGAAATGCATGGTGAGTTCACTGGGCAGCTGAAGAAAGGGCCTGGGCAGAGTCCTTGGCTCTGAGAGGGAAGAGGCACAGGAGGAGGAGAGGACTATTCCATAGGGGGCTCAAGACTTGGAAAATAACAGGGTTAGGACTTGGAGGGGAAGGAGAAATTCCAGGCAATGGGGCAGAAAGCTCACAGAAAGGCAGGAGGGAAGCTGGTAAAGCAAAGGAATAAGGAAACCAGGTAGGTGTGAGTAGTGAGAGGGCCACACCCAGGATTGCATAAGAAGCAAGGACAGAATGATGCTGGAGCCCAGGGTGGTTTCTTGGCTCAACCTCCAGGGTCACCTTTCATTGGGATGAGCCTGGTCACAGTTCACACCTTTCCTGTTCCAAGGGTCTGACACAGAAATAAACCACAAGTTCCCAAGAAGGAAAGGAACTCAGGTTTTAGCTCTATGTTGCACTATGTACCAAATCTGGCCAGCCCCCAAAGCAGATAAAGCAGGTGTCTCATCTTGGTTATTCTGAACTGAGGATGATGGGAGTACGTGTGGAGTTAGATCACAAACCCATCTCTAAAAAGCAGACCCAAAGCACATAGATGATGGAGGAGGGAGTGGTGTCAGGCAAACCTGACTTACTTCATACCTTCCCCACAGTACAGCGGATCCGGAAAGCATCCCCCAGTCACTTTTTGCCCAGTTATGGCTGGGAAGACTTAGATAATATCCCCCAAGGGCTGAGCAGGCCCAAGGCTCTGGCCTTGGAGAAGGATAACGCAGAACTGGCCCAAAGCAGGCCTGGGTCTGATCCAGTAATTTCCTGGAACTTTCTTCCTGCTAACTGCTGGCTAAGGCAGTATTCTGCTGGGCTTAAACTGAAAAGGCAGGCACTGGAAGCAGATGGTGTGAGGGATGGGGACCACATGCTAGGATGTGAATGCTTCCCACTCCCAGATGACAGGGGACCCTGATGAGCTGCCACCTGAGGCCCAGAGAGAGTCTTGTGGTTACCCTTCCACCCACTCCATTCCCATAAGGAGAAAAGCCTGTACCTCCTCCAGCTCATTTTCACCTGAGTGTACAATGTGTGTACACACTAGGAGGTGGGCTCAAGGAAGAGCAGGCAAGGACTGAACCCTGCCCATGATGCTCATGCCTCCTCAAAATGTATTTTACAGGGCTGGGGTTGTGACTCAGTGGCAGAGCACTTGCCTTGCACATGTGAGTTACTGAGTTCGATCCTCAGCACCACATAAAAATAAATAAACAAAATAAATATAATTGTGTCATGTATAACTAAAAAAAATTTTTAAAAATGTGTGTTCCTCAGTGTGGACAGTGGGCCATGAGCCTCAGAGCCTTGAATGACTGCTCAGAGAAATAGGATGCCAACATATGCAGTCAGATCTCCATTTCTCTACTGTAAGAGGTGATTCATTCTTCATAAAATTCCCAGAGTCCTGACTAATGTTCCAGGAAAAACTTGGAGCAGAGGTTAGGAGGGGGGGTTGACCTATGATCCTGGAGACTTGAACTTATCCTTCCCATCACTCTATTTTCCATTTCATGACACATCACCTTCACCCATCACCCCAACTAGACCCTTCCAAGCACCCAAGTCTTGGTTTCACAGACCTTGACCAACCTTGGAGAGTTCCAGAAGACCATGGCTTCCACCAGGCAGGTGGGTATGCAGTTTAAGGTGAGGTAAGGGAGCTTGGTGCCCCAGTCAGGTGAGTACTCGGTGTATATGGTAGTGGTGGGGGAAACAAGTGGTCAGTACATACTCCATTCAGTCTGTCACCAAGGATAGATTCAACCTGATTTTTGTCAAATTTTTTCAAATATGTTGAGGTCTGCTTAGGATGATAAAGGGTACTGAATGTACTTGCATATCCCTTTAGTTCCACACAGATCTTTAAATTAGTAGGAAAGTTTCTAAGAATTACTGGCTCCACAATAATATGCCCCAGACCTAATCTATCCACGTTTCCCAATGAATGACCCCAAACTTACCCTAGGAACAACTGTTCCACACTCAGGCACATCTGGCTGTCATTCTGGGAATATCTTTGTTGCACAAATTGAAGGTCTCTGCCAACAAAACTATGAACATGAAAATCAGCTATCTTCAAACCTAACTATCTTGCCATGAGTCTACCATGTCTTTCCTCTCTAGCTTTAGTTTATTCTTCAAAATGTTGAGGGTTTAGATGAGATAGTGCCCCCAATTATAATAAGCTTTTATTAGGTGACCAGCTGGCCACAGCACTATAGGATGTGGTTAAACAGCCTTACTTTGTGGGTGAGTCAGAATATGAATGATTGACCTTAAGGGTGGAGGTGCAAATGATGAACCCAAGTTTCCAGATAAGAGTCTGCTTCTGTCCCCACTGTGTACAGTTCAATCACAAGATACAAGAAACTTCTCACCATAGATTCTCCCTGACCTTTGGGCTAGTCCTGTCCCATGCCTCCTGTAAAAACCCCACAAGCCTCACAGTGTTGGTTTTGTTAGTCTTGCAGAAGCCTGGCTCAGTAATAGCCAATTTTACCCAAAAAAGGAAAGTTCCCTGTTGCAAGACAGAAAAGCAAATGGCAAGGACTTCAGAGACCTTGGAAGGTGTGTCAGTTAGGTTTTCATTGCTGTGACTAAAATTCATGACAAGAACAACTTACTTAGAGGAGGAAAAGTTTATTTGGGCTCATAGTTTCAGAGGTTCAGCCCATTGTGGGCTGACTCCATTGCTCTGGGCCTGAGATGAAGCAGAACGTCATAGTGGAAGGGCATGGCAGACAAGTTCCACTCCCCTCATGGCAGCCAGGAAGTAGAGAAAGTGGGGAAGATGAATCCTTCCAGGGCAAACCCCCAGTGACCCACCTCCTCCAGCCATGCCCCACCTGCCTACAGTTACCACCCAGTTAGTCCATTCAAACTAGGATGGGTGATTATGTGTAGCTCTCATAATCAAATCATTTCATCTCTGAATATTCCTTCAATAATACAAAAGATTTTAGGGAATATCTCATATCCCAACCATAAAATTTCATCCCTAGACCCCAAAAATTCATGTCCATCTCACAGTGCAAAATGCATTTATGTTTATCTTCAAGAGTTTCCATAGTCTTAACAGTCCCAACATAGCCCCAAAGTCCAAGTCCAAAGTGTCATTTTAGACTCAAGTCAAACTCTTGGCTGTGAATCCTTGCCCCCAAATAGTACACCACCTTTAAATTCAGCTTCACTCAATCTCAGAACTTGGGCAAAATGTAGATAAGTTCTTTGCCAGAATCTAACACAATGGTCTCTAATCCAATTTTCTATAGAGTCCCTATTCTTCTCTGAAACCAGGGGAGCACAATCTATACTGCCTGGATTCCTATTAGCATTCTGGTCTTCTGAGTTCCCACTAGGATTGCCCATTAAGCTCTGTTTAAAAGATTCTAAGTCTTCTCCATCATGTGTCTACAAACTTTTCCAAACTCTTCCCACAAACCCTTTCTAAAGGCTTCTGAACCACATGGTCAGTTTAGTCACAGAAATGATCTCACTCCTTGTTACCAATTTCTGTGTTAGTCAGGTCTTCATTGCTGCAACCAAAATATATGACAAGAACAATTTAGAGGAGAAAAGGTTTATTTTGGCTCATGATTTCAGAGTTTCAGTTCATGGCTGACCGACTCCATTGCTCTGGGCCCAATATGAAGTAGAACATCACGGTGAAAGGGCATGATGGAAGCACACTGCACCACAATAGTGGCCAGGAAGCAGAAGGTGGGGAGGGGACTGCATGGAAGATGAACCCTTCTACGGAACAACTCAATGACCTACCTCCTCCAGCCATACTCCACCTGCCTACAGTTACCACCCAGTTAGTCTATTCAAACTAGGATGGACTAATTAGGTTACAGCTCCCATAAGCCAATCATTTTACTTTGTTAATATTCTTGCATTATTAACACAGGAGATTTGGGGGGATATCTCATATCCAAACGATAAGAGAATGAAAG